GCTTTTAATAAAATTGTAATATCTCTTTCTGATTCATCTTTCCCATCTGAAGTATAACCATCGTCACTGTAAAAAAAGAAAAAAAGAAAAGCCTTCTTAAATAAGATTCTTCATCCACAAAAGCAGACCTTAGAAGTCCCATTATAGAAAGCCCATTGGTGGGGTGGTCCATTATAGAACTCATGCTTTTACATGGCATTGTTTGTTTAACGTGGCAGGCTATTAATTAGGTTTGTTGACCGCTTGACACATCCATCAGAATGTGTATGCTAGCCACCCTCTATTTCATGTATCGTGGACACCTATGCACTATGAGGTGTACTATTTTGTATAAATATCTTTTTCTCCTATTTATTTTCATGAGGAGATGTCGTTTTTGTAGAAGGATGAGTATGGGTGCTAAGCTTTGATGGATGGCATGTGTATGTTTTCTCTCTCTCTCAACACTCTTGTGTCCGCCCTCACAACTTTTAATTGAACGTCACCATTCCCTTTATTTGCACCATTGTAATTTTTGTTCTATCAAGAAATATATATACCTAGCCTTCATGTATAGTATTTGTTGTGAGTAGACTTTGCACAGATTAAAAGAAATGGAAAACAATGTTTTGGTAAGTAGGAATTTGAATTTGTTCTATATATATATATAGCATAAGAATAGTCTGTCGCACCTCAGGAATGTTTATGAACTTGGGGTGTGACACTTCCACATATGGAGTAACACTGATTCAATCACTACTTCAAGTTATTTGTAAAATTTTCCTACCAATCAAAAAAGACAAAAAAAAATGTAATTCAGTCACCACATGCAAAATATTCTCCATAAATCAAATCACGATGTCTGTATGAAATTTATCTTCAAAATGTAAATGAAGCATGGACAAAACCATGATTACAATAACATAACTCCAGCCACAAGTAGAAAGAACAGAGACCCAGCTCAGAGCATTCATGAATTAGTTAGAAAACAAATGTCAATCTAAGCAAATAATAAGATTTTGCAAAGGCCAATGAAAAAAAATAGAGAAAATGAATCAACAAGCAAGAAAGTTATTTGAGCTCAGCTGAATGACAATTGATCTCATCAGTTGAGAGTAAAAGTAAAAGTGGAGTGAAAGATCCAAATGAATAACTATGTTCAAGCAAAATATCCATTGGCAAAAAAAAAAATGCCAAAGAGAATCACATGTTCAGAAACTCAGTCACCTCCAAACAAACTGCAGAACTTATGTGACATGGCCCCTTTAGAAACAATACCTTCCTGTTATATTATTCACATTCTTTAAAGACAATATGCATCATACTTTGATGTAATATGGAACTTTCATGTTACAATACCTTCCTGTTCTAATCAAATTTTTTTTCAAAAAATAAACGTATACAGCTACTTAAACCAAATTTCAAAAGCTCGAATCAACTAGATCGGAACGAATCCCAATCTATTTTGGGGGTTTCAATTTGGAGTATTTGAGGAACATTTGACAAAGATGGGAGGGATCGGTTTGCACAGAACACAAAGATTGGAAGGTCAGCTTAAAAATTTTGAACAATTATCATTTTTCAATTTAAAATTCGTGCAATTGAATTTATTTTTGAATGAAGTGAGTCGATCTAATAATATTTTTATGTTTCATTTCTACAAACTTTTCAAATTTTTCTGGCCATCTTATCGACTACTTAAAACCAAATAACAGCACAAGCAAACTGAATGACGAACAAATAAAGATCAAATAAAAAAAATACCATATATTGGGGAATGAGAGAAGTCCCATATGAAGTTTTAAAAACCCTTTCCAGACAAGACACCAAAGTACTCTCGAGTCCGGTAGTATCAGGTTCTTGCAAAACACTGAAAAATGAAATCGGGAAAAAGATAAAAATTAGAGAATTTATGGAAAAATAAAATTCATGGAAAAATAATTTAAGAATAACAATGCAATGAGTAAGAAAATGTGAAAAACATGTTGAGGGAAACTTACGAAAAGATGACAGGCAGAGGAAAGCGATCGAGGAATTCCTTAGTGGAGGCATCAGCTGGCGGACCTGCACAAATTTTTCAGAAATCATTTCCCCGTGGCTAAGATAACAATAAATGCCTCACCGCACAATCATATTGAAACGAATGTTAGAGACGGAGAGAGGTGGAATGGAGATGCAAAGTAGAGAGAGAGAGAGAGAGATACAACGACTCAAGGGAGGAGACAGAGGATGAGAAAGAAATAGGGCGAGGCAGAGAGAGAGGAGAGCATATACCGTTCAAAAAAAAAAAAAGAGGAGAGCATAAACTAAGTGAAAAAGGGGATAGAGAAACTAGACAGACCCGGGTAAGAAGCGAAATCAGAGGCCGCGGCAAGTAGCAATTCTTTGTCTACGAACTCCATTAAAGCCTGCAAGAAGAGAGAGTAGAGAGAGATTTATTTGCGAAGGGGGTCGGGGAGTTGGCGCCACTACGCAGAGCATGCAAGAAGAGAGATTTATTTGCGAGGGGACTTGGTGAGTTGGCGCCACTACGCTCAGCAAAGTTTAAGAAGCGTGTCGCATTTTATGGTCGGTGCGGTTTCTCCGAGGTTGCAACCTTAAACAGTCCAATTAAGGCACACCTCTAAATTTTGTTAATTTTGGTATAAATTTTTTTTTAAATTACCTTAATATCGATTTTCATATCTAATTATAAAACTTTCAACTCCAATAAAAAAATTTTAGAATTATCTTAATATCAATTTTCATATCTAATTATAAAACTTTCAACTCAAATAAAAAAATTTAGGATTATCTTAATATCTATTTTCATATCTAATTATAAAACTTTTAACTCCAATGAAAAAAATTTAGGATTATCTTAATATCTATTTTCATATTTAATTATAAACTTTCAACTCCAAAAATAGTTAAAATCAAATAGATCTATAAATATATGAAAATCTTGAAAATGGATGGTCTAGATAATGTATTGCAAGATGCACTATTTCTAAGACTCCAAATAATTTTTTTTTATATTCATACATTTCGATGTTGTGATGATCAGTTAGAGGGGTTTCCAACATTAGAATAACATCTTTCGATGGATTTTTGAAGTGCATCTTTAATTCTACATTTTAAGGTTGCAACCTTATATAAACTTTTTCTTTTTACGGTATAGGAAAAAGTTTGTATAGAGCCGAAGCTCTAAACAATCTAATTAGAGCGCATGTCACACTCTAAGAATTTACAATACTGATACTCCTTAGATGTGACAGTCAAAACATAAATACATCTCTTGATAGGACAAATTTACAGTGGCGAATTCTTACAAATAAACAAAAGACAGTTTAAGCACAACTACAATATCTTCCAGAGTTAATCCTGACGAGCAGTCAAAATGAAACCACAGTTATCCTGAAAAAATGTTTACCATAATTTGATGAGTTTGGCTACTCAGTAAGTGATCATCATAATCCTAAAAATAATAATGGTTGAAAGATGTCAATATTTTCAAAAAGGAGATCTATTAACAGAAATGCATCAATAGTTTCACTTTCAAAATGCATAATTAAGTATAATTCGAATAATTGAACTGCGTATAACATTTTAACGTCGGTGCATAATTCAAAAGATTTCACAAAAACCTTATTGGCGTCTCAAGTAGGTCACCTATATACCCCATCAGCGTCCTCATGGATCCACTTAATTCCTATCGGCGTAGCGGATAGGTCCACTTATACCTCACCGGCGAACCGGATGAGTCCACTTACATACTTAAAGTATTTCTAAATCTCTTTAAATATCCGAAAGCAGCAATATCATGTACTCAACATATCACTGAAATTATTAATATGAATTTCATTGAAACCATTAATAATAGTCACTTTCAATAACATTTCAAGAATAACCAGTCAAATATTTTGGGCTCAGATTTAGAAAGGTAGCAGTTCTTAAAGACATTCTAGCATAATTGCCAATCTATTATGTATAGAAAAAATCTTATAGAAATTAAAGAATACGGAATTATCACAATTTATGGGATGTCAATTTGCAAATAAACATTTCACAGACAATGTTATAATCAATTGCAAAAATATAAAATTTCAAATAATAAGGCAGTCATTTGTATATGAAATTTACAATGTCTAAATATTCAAAAATAGTAGAAAGAAATCTCACAATTTTACTAAAGGCAGAAATATCACATTTATTTCTAATAATTTTACAGTATCTAAAATTCTCTAACAATAGACAAGAAAATAAATTTATTTCTAAGAATTTACAGCATTTAAAATTTCTAACATAGATAAAATATCACACTTTTATTAAAAAGATTATTTTTCAAAATAATGAGGTCACTTGTGCATAAAATTTATCGTGCCTAAAATTTATGATAATAAGCAGAAATAACTATTTCATTTTATTTTTTTAAAAAAGGGATTATTTTTCAAGATAATGAAGTCACTTACCTAAAATATTTGAGAAGGAGCTTTCGATAAAAATTAAGCTAAAGACAGAAAGATCTCAAAAATTTTCTAGGGTGGGAGTCATCGCCTCTCCTATTTAAATTCTTAAGACACCTTATTATTTTATCTTATTAAGTTACACCTAATACATGAGGTATAACAATCATATTACACCTGAACGTTTAAAGCTCACGTCCACTAAAGGACGTGGCAAAACAGCAAAAACTTAAACCAAAAGCTTTTGAAAGTAGTGATAGTCGCTAAGGACCATCATGCTCATATGGACCATCACTTATTAAAAGTTTTTTTTTTAAAAAAAAAAAGTTAAGGATTGTTACAGCGCACCTCAAATTTTTCACTAGAAGTGGCTGTTTTGATATCTAAATATCCTCAAATTAATCATCTCGAGATGCATGGACATCAGAAAAAAAAATAGATTTAAAGTTTTACAAATAGTGCTTCTTGTAATGCATTTTTGGGATGTAAGTTTTCAAGATTTTCAAGTTTTCATGGATCCTGCTCGGTCCACACTATTTTTGAAGCTTTAAATTTTATAATTAAAAATGAAAATAAATTTTAAGGCTATCACAAAGATTTATAGTATTGAAACCACATTTCTCAATAGTATTTAAAGGTGAGCTTTACTTTGATTGTTTAGAGCCTCGGTTCTATACAAACCGCACTCGCATGTATAACACGGGTACTTTAGTTGTTTTCATTGAGCAAGGTGCCTCTCTTACCTATAAAGCTTTTTGGAATTTGGTATAAAAAAATGAGCAAGGTGCCTCTCTTACCTCTAAATCTTTTTGGAATTTGGTATAAAAAAATTGTGATGTGCTGAAAGTCAGTTTGATCCCAATTGTAATATGGGATTGTACACAATGGGACAATTAATCGGTCACATTTCCTTACAACTATTTGATGTGAAAGTTGATAGCTTGGATGTATCACAAAGTTCGAATAAATTTATTTTGAAGTTTGAACTTGGTCAATGGAGTAATTACAACCACCCAATTTCACATCTAATGGTCAAGATTAATTGGACCACCTTGTATCAAAGGCATATGGTCTCATTCAATGTTTTCCTTTACAATATTTAAAATTCAAGAAATAATCTATATATCAAGCAAATCTATAAACACTTGAAATCTTGAAACTAGATGATTCAAATAACTTGTTACAAGATGTATATTTTTTAAGACTTGAAATTCTTTGTTTTTCTTTATATCCATATATTTTGAGGTCGAGATGAACAATTGGAATGATTGCAATTTCTTAACGCTCTTTTCTACTAGATCTTTGAGGTACACCTCACTTCCATAACATAAGGTTGCAACCTTATATAAACTTTTCCAAAAACTAAAATGCTAAGAACATTTTCAAGTTTTGAAAATTGTCAACAGAAACTATGGACGCTTAACCCAATTCACAGTGAGAAAGCACTCACTCGATTGGACTAGAAGTCAAAGACTACATAATACTTCAACATAAATAAATAAAAAAATGTCAATTTCTATAACAAATCAATTGGTAATTGGGAAAATAAAACTCTCAAAAATTTCATTTTAGAAGGCAGCTTCATTTCTCAGTACTCTTTTCTTTTTTGAATGGTGGCTTCCTTTCTCAATACCCTTATAGTGGGTAGTGAAAGCACTCAAGCATGGCTCACTAATGATAACAAGGCTTTCAATCCATGGTATTTTACAGAATATTATGGAGTTCCAAACTGTAAACAACCCAGGTTGCATTCCCCCCCATGATCTAATATTTGTGACAATTTATTACTTCCCCCATGTCACTGCTTACCAAATACTTAATAAAATCTGAAGAAAGAGATTTATGCACTGTACCCATCCATTGTCATATTATTTATGCACTATAAAACCCATCCATTATAAGAATGGCATGGTTTACATCAGCATTTGGAGTCATTTTGACCATGTACTGATATTTTTATGTTATTTTCTCATAAATACAAGAACTCGGCTGATCAGCATCACGTAAAAGGAAAAATATTCCCTTCTTGGAACCCAGCATCGCATCCCGAAAATTGAACAGAGCTCCACACTGGTTGATTCGATAGCATGAACTTGAATCAGTAAATCCATAACTCAATCCCAACTCTTAGTTTGGTATGTTATGAACTTCTCATTGCCCTTCCAACAATTATTATCATATTTCAAGTGTCAAAACTTATGAAACAAATAAGGGATCTACGTTTCAGTAAAGGAGCGCCTAAAGACTTCCATCTTCTCGTACGCCCATTACACAATTAAAATACACTTTTGGGCAACTCAATTCCACCCAATACAATCACCTAATCGAGATCATTCATGTTCTTTGACAGCATACAACCTTATTCAGTAGGTATGCAGAGGCCAAGCACAAAACTTCAAGTGATGATGAGCACATTCAAATTGAGCTATTGGCTAGAAAATGTGGGCAAAACAGTGAAACTATCAATAAAGTAAGATGGGATTAAAGGCAGCACCATTCATGCATTGGATGGCCTATTCTGAGGCCAAAAAGCCATTACCCAAACTTTGACTTCTATTGGTACATCATGTAACCTCTTTCTCAAAACCTCACCAAAATTTTTCTTTTGTAACAAGTTGAACTTACCAATAATCACGGCATGAGCAAGACCCATCTTTAAAATGATGGAATCGATTTATATCTCTCATGATGATCTCCCTCGAAACAATTTTGCATATATACTTGAAAGCAGTATGGCAATCCCCACAGACCCGAAGGTTCTTCTTGACTCTTATTGGTGCTCCTTCAGGGGTGCTAATGAGCCCAAAAGCCACAGCCAACTTCTCACTGTGGTGATAAAGAAGCCTCTCCTTCTCCCCTTGTTCTACATCATGAAGATCAAACTCAACCTTGGGCACATAACCAGCCTTGCTCATCAATAGCCCCAGTTCATCAAGCTTGGCATAAATCTCCTCTGTCCTAGAATGGCTTCTATCTCCAACTATAAATGCATGAACTTTATCCTTAACCTCAATCCAACTCATACCAGGCTCCTTCTTCACCTTACTATCCTTCATCATCCTTCTAACTTGTCTTACCTTGTCCCACATTCCCCATGCAGCATACATATTAGCAAGAAGCACATGGGTTCCCGATTTCTCAGGTTCTAATATAAAAAGCATCTCGGCTGCTTTCCTACCCAATTCAAAATTTCCATGAATTCGAGAAGCCCCAAGAAGAGCCCCCCATATTGAAGCATTAGCTTTAAAAGGCATCTGCTCCACAAGTTCAGTTGCTTTGTCTAAGTTTCCAGCCCTCCCATATAGATCTATCATGCACGCGTAGTGTTCTTGGGCTGGTTCTAAACCGAATAAGTTACCCATTGAATTGAAGTAATATTCAGCCTCGGTTACCAAGCCTGCATGATTACATGCTGATAAAACACTAACTAAGGTTATGCTATTTGGGGTTACACCTTCATTAATCATTGCATTGAAGAGATTTAACGCATCTCTTCCTTGTCCATGTTGTGCTAGCCCTTGAATCATGGCTGACCATGAAACAATTCCTCTCATGGGGATCTCTAAGAAGGCCTTACTTGCATCTTCTACACTTCCACACTTAGCATACATGTTAACAAGCGCGTTCCCTGCGTGCACATCCAAATCGAATCCTAATTTCAAAACATGGCTGTGCACTTGTTTCCCTTGTTCAAGAGCCGATAAACTAGTGCAAGCATTGAGCACACTACTGTACACAAAACCATCAAGATTAAGCTCCTTATTAATCATCTCATGAAAGAGCTTAAACGCCTCCTCACCTTGCCCACATTGAGAATAGCCAGTGATCATTGAAGTATATGACACAATATCACCAAATAAGCAATCCTCAAAAATTTTCCTAGCATCTTCCATGCAGTTAGATTTGCAATAAGCATCAGTGACACTATTCATGACATACATATCAGATTCAAACCCGGATTTCACAACATGGGCATGAATTTGTTTTGTGGCATCCACTGTGGGCAAACCAGATGAAGCTTTAAGAAGTGAGCATAGAGTGGATTCGTTGTAGCTGTATCCTTCATTGAGCATCGTTAGAAAAAGGAAAAGTGCTTCCTTATCATTACCATTCTGAACATAGCCTGATATTATTGCATTCCATGAAATTAAGTCGTGATAGGGCATGCAATCAAAGGATTTGCTGGCATATTCAACCAATTCGCACTTTGAGTACATATCAATAAGGCCCACACACATGAACATATCATGATCAAACCCTGACTTTATAGCAAAGGAGTTTATTTGCATGCCCAAATCGAGCATTCCCATAACAGAGCAAGCCTTTAGAAGACTGGAAAGAGTGAACATATTGGGAGATGTCCCTGAAAATTTCATCTCTTCTAGTAACTCCAAAGCTTTATGATAAAACCCATGAAGAACAAACCCAGCTATCAAGGCATTCCAAGATATTATATCCGGTTGAGATAATTTCTCAAAAACTCTCTCTGAAGCTTCTAAATCACTCGTTTTCGCGTACATATCAACAAGAGCATTAGATGAGAAAGGATCATCATAGAAACCCAATTTCACCAAATACCCATGAATTCTCTGTCCTTCACATAGATCCTCTGAACTAGTACAAGCGTTAACAATGGTAGATAAACTAAACTCATCAGGCCTAATACCAGTACAAACCATCTCCCGAAACAATTTGATAGCTTCATCACTGAACCCATTCTGTGCATAACAAGAGAACAAACTGTTCCATGAAACTACACTTGTTTGAGGAGTCTCATCAAATAATTGTTGAGCGTCAAATGTCATCCCACATTTAGCATACATAACAATCAAAGCATTAGCCACAAATATATCTGCTTGGAACCCATTACTTAGAATAACTCCATGAATTTGAGTTCCAATTCTCAAAGCTCCTTGAATTCCACAGGCCTTAAGCACACTTGGGTAAGTGTACTCATTTGACTTGATACCCAATTTGTGCATAGAGCAAAAGGCTTTAATGGCTTCTTTTCCAAGCCCATTTTGAGCAAAACAAGCTACAATGGCAGTCCAAGAAACCAGGTCAGGTTCATGAATTTCATTGAACACTTTGTGGGCTTCTTCAAAATGTCGGGCTTTGGAGTACAGGTTGATAAGATGGTTGCATAAGGAGATTTCATTCAAAAAACCATGTTTTATGATTTGTGTCTGGATTTGGAGGCCAGGTTTGATGGTTTTAGAGCGAGAAAGCTCAGCCAAGAGTTTGGAGAAGATGTTTGGAGATGGGGCTGACTGCACAATTGCGCTGAGACTTACTGCGGTTTTGTCACCGCTTAATTTGGAGGTGGTTCGGATCAATTTGGAGAAAGTGAGAAATGGGGCGATGGATTTAGAGGGGAGAGAAACGTGTCTAATCGAAAAATCCATGCACGCGTCGAGCGTCCATATCCTGTAGCTGTTAATTATTCGCGCGTCCCAAGTTTAAGGTTTGGAAAGAACTCATATGAGGTTGATCTTTTGTTCATGGTGTGGTTTCTATAAGGTTGCAAAACAATCCAATTAAGGCGCACCTGGGTGTGGTTCTACAAGGTTGCGACCTTAAACAATCCAATTAAGGCGCACCTGGGTGTGGTTCTACAAGGTTGCAACCTTAAACAATCCGCGCACCTCGAAATTGTATCGTAATTTTATTGTAAAAATTATTAGGATTATCTTAAAATCTATTTTTATATCTAATTATAAAATTTTAAACTCAAAAAATGATTACATTTTTTAAAAAATGGGCTAGGATCGTGGCAGTAGCACCCCCGCACCCCGCTATTACATCGTATCCATCCCTACCCTTGAACCCCCAATTTAACACTTTTAAAATGTAACTCCCCCAATTTATTGAAAAAACGGGTAGGAGCATGTCTTTCCCACTGAATTACCCCAAAAAAAAAATGATTAAAATCAAGTAGATCTATAAATCTATAAAAATCTTGAAAATGAACAGTCTAGATAATGTGTTGCAAAATGCACTATTTTTGGGACTCAATTTTTTTTTTTTTCATATTCATACATCTCAATATCGAGATCATCAATTAGAGGGTTTTCCAACATTAAAACAAACTTTCAGATAAATTTTTGAGATGCATCTATAATTCTAAATTTTAAGGTTGCAACCTTATATAAAATTTTTCATTTATTCATACAAGGTTATTGTTTTAAGGAAGATTGTTTCATGGGAGCTGAGCTGCATTTCTACACTATGCGGTCCAGAGATATAAAGCATCTATCTTAAAGATGGATGCAAATAGGCGGTCCATCTAAAAACAAGAGTAATTAACGGTCCAAATATTTTCTTAATATAATTATTATTTTTAGTTTTCAATTTTTTTTTCATATTCATAATCTCATTATATATTATTTAAAAATTAAGATCAAATTATATTTTAAAAATATATTTTTTGCCATGCCCGCATTTCTACAATGTGCGGGCTGGCCGCATAGAAACTATGTCCATGTTTTAATGTTCGACCAAAGATGCTTTGAAACAAGAGGAAAGAATGTGGTGATGGAACCTATAATGGGAAACGGGCTCAGGTTAAGCACTATCTAGGTTTCGGACTCTATTCTCACTAGAGTCTCAAGTAGTTTGTTTTCTTTTTTTTTGTTTTTTTTTGTTTTTTTTGTTTTTTTTTAATTATCGGTTACTATGAAGTTTAATCACACGAGGACAACTACAGAAAGGAGGTTCAAGAAAGAAAAGATGTAACTGCCCTCAATGGTTGATGTACATCACCTTTTTACTAAATGTTTATTATCATAGGGCAAAGATTATAAAATTTGTGGCTATGAGTACTTATTTTTACGTTTTCCTATTTTTTTGAAAACATTCAAAAATTCAAAAATACCCTTAGGCACAGATAGATTTTTTTTTAATAATTTTTTTACTACTTTTCAACTCCAATTTGATGTGTTTTATTTAATCATGCCTTAAATATATTTTTTTATATTATTTTGTATGATTTTGTCACTATTTGGACCGATTGGTACTTGCTTGGTTAGGCTGGTTGAACCGATCGATTTACTGGTTACTCATACCCGGTCCTTAGCCAGATTCCAAGGCCAGTTCGATTTTTTGAATAATGCCTTGGACTCTCATGTCTCAAATTACTATTTAAAAAAAAAACCGAAAAAAATTATTATGGCTTGAAAAATGATTTTATATTCAAATTTGAAATTTAGAGTTATGCTGGAGCTTGTATATGAATATGTGATGTTTTTTTACAATAGACCGTCCAGATAGTATATAATAAAGTATAATATTTATAGGACCTAAAATTCCTCTTTATATTTTTATAATATTCTTTATGGTGCAGTTGGATGCATCTGCAGGTGTAGAGGTAAGGTGCACCTTTAAATTTCATCATGGTATATAATTTTGATATAAAATGTTCTTAGGATTATCTCAAAACCTATTTTTCTATCTAATTATAAAATTTTAAATTTCAAAAATGGTTAAAATCAAGTACATCTATAAACAAATGAAAATCTTGAAAATAGACGGTGTAGATAATATATTGTAAAATGCATTATTTTTTAGACTTACAATCTTTTTATTTTTCATGGTTATACATCTCGATTTCGAGATGATCAATCAAAGGGTTTTTCAACATTAAAACTACTTTTTTCGATGGATTTTTTAAGTGCATCTGTAGTTCTACATTATAAGATTGCATCCTTATACATAATTAGGGGAAGATGAACTATTTGAGATTTCCTTTTTCAGTGTCGTAACAATCGTTCGTCGCAGATTTTTTAGGTTGTCTTACTTTTATTATGTGTTTTACGTCAAACATGTAATTGGACATCTCCTCGCCTTCATTTGTTTTTCACGCAAAAAAAAAAGCCAACATTTCACATAAACATTTTCCTTTATATAACATAACATAGCGTCATTTCAAAAAAGGAAAAAGTTTATATAAAGTCGAGGCTCTAAACAATCAAACTAGATCTCACCTCAAAAATCTCACTAGAAGAGGTTGTTTTGATGTCCAAATATCCTCAAATTGATCATCTTGGCATTAAGACGTATGGACATGAGAAAAAAAATAGATTTCAAGTTTTGAAAATAATGCATCTTATAACGTATTTTTGACCGTCAATTATCAAGATTTTCAAGTTTTTATAAATCTGCTCAATATACACTATTTTTTAAGCTTTAAATTCTATAATTAGATCTGAAAATATATTTTAAGGCTATCACAAATATTTCCAGTATTGAAACCATATTTCTAGACTCTATTTGAAGGTGTGCTCTACTTTAATTGTTTAGAGCCTCGGCTCCAGACAAACCACACCCTTTTTCTAAAGGTGTGAACCAGGGTTTTAAAAAACGCCGAGTCGAACCGGACTCGCCCGGTTCGACTCAGGAATCGGCACTGGCCGTGCCGGTTTCGGCATTATACACGGAATCGCCCAATTCCAGAGAGAACCGAGTGATTCTGTACAGTGACTCACCGATTCACTGTACGGAATCGGCAAGTCCCGTGAAGAACACGGGCTGCACAGTGTTCTTCACGGGTTTCTTCAAATTTTGTCTTTTGTTATCATATTTTTTCTTTTTTTTGCCATGTGATCGAATATTCAGGCTTTATGCAGCTTTTTTCAGCCTTTTCATGGATTAAATGGTGGAGAAATTTCATGTTTTTTTATCATGAAAGTTGTTGGTTTTAGGGTTTCCGCTTTTCCTTTTGTTTCATGTCAAATAAGGCTTGAATCTGTGAAAATTTTGAGGCATATTGATCGTACGTTTGTTCATCAAAAAATCCTGTCACGAATTTGTGATAATCTTTGAGAAAAACAGATTAATTTGGAGATTGAAGCCACAGGTTCACGAAACCAGGTAAGAACTCTGAGATTTTTATTTTTTTTTCCGCCAGTTCATCAATTCAGTCCATATTTTGAAAATAATCAGTTAAATTTGTAGGGTTTTAAATCTTTATCGTGTCTTTTATCATTTACCATATTCAAATTTATTTAATTTACTCAATTACAGCCTGAGTTTTTAGAAGAACATAGTGATGTCTGTGAAACAAATTTCTGCTGTTTTTTTTATTTTTTCCGCCTTTCGATCTATGTTTACGATATATTACAAATAATGTATTAGATTTCTAGGGTTTTTAATCGCTATAGTCTTGTTTATAATCATATGTATTCACTTTGAGCTTCATTTTTTAGATTCAATGACGGTTGTATGTGAAGAACTGCGTTTTTTTTTTTTGCTCAATTTAATCGATTCGATTTGATTTATTGATGATAATGTGTTCATAATATAGGGTTTTGATTCCTTATATTGTTGTTTATCAAAACATGTACTCAATTGGATGTAATTTATTCGTTTGGAGGTGGATTTTTTAGTTGAAATGGCTGCTGTAAGGTGGCTCTGTGAAGAAAAGATTTTTTTTTTTTTTTATTGTAATCCACGATCGATTGTTTTTGAAAATTTATGATTTTCTGCAAGGATGTGAAAATCATGACAAGGTTTTGATTATCATGAGGTATTAAACCATATTTTTAATTTTTATTGTTTGAGTTTGCTGTACTTTTTTTTTTTATCCATGATCGAATATTTTGAAAAATGATGATTTTCCTAAAAGATGTAAAAATCGTGACCGTGTTTTGATTATCATGAGGTATTAAACCATATTTTTAATTTTTATTGTTAAAGTTTTTGTTGAAAGTATTGTATGTTGATAGATTATTTATGCAAAAAAATGCATGTTATTATATTTTTAATGCAAAACTGTATTTTTTTAATTTGTTGTTAATGTATTTTTGAGTTGCAATGACTGATGTTAGGTGGCTCTGTGAAGTAATTGTTTTTTTGTTTAATTACTATGATAGATTTTTTTT